TTCTTCTCCTTACAGACCGAAGATGAATGGGGCTGTTGAAGCTGCTAACAAGAACATCAAAAAGATTGTCCAGAAGATGGTGGTAACTTATAAAGATTGGCATGAAATGCTTCCGTTTGCTCTGCATGGATACCGTACTTCAGTTCGAACTTCCACAGGCGCAACCCCATTTTCCCTAGTTTATGGTATGGAAGCAGTACTCCCCGTGGAGGTTGAGATTCCGTCTATGAGAGTGTTGATGGAAGCTAAACTTTCTGAGGCTGAATGGTGTCAAAATAGATATGATCAGTTGAATTTAATTGAAGAAAAGAGATTGACAACATTGTGTCACGGTCAATTATATCAGCAGAGAATGAAGAAGGCTTTTGATAAGAAGGTTCGACCACGCGAGTTCAGAGAAGGTGACCTTGTGCTCAAGAAGATATTATCTTTCCAACCTGATTCTAGGGGCAAGTGGGCTATGAATTATGAAGGACCATATGTCGTTAAGAAAGTTTTCTCTGGAGGTGCCATGATTCTCACCAATATGGATGGTGAAGAGCTCCCGCGCTCCATGAACGCCGATGCAGTCAAGAAATATTTCGCTTAGGTTTGAGTTGACAGTTTGCTAAGTTGAAAACCCGAAAGGGCGGCTTAGGCAAGCTTTTGGTCAGACCAGTCTTGGCATTTGAGCACATTTTGGAATTCGAAGTTGTTAGGGAGAATAATGATCATTGTTTTTGTGTAACCCTTTCTTTCATGTACTATTTCCCAAACTTTTGTAAACCGTTGGAGTCGCGTTGTTAGCGAACTACCATCTTATTAATGAAATTTGAGCATTTACCTTTTATGGGAAAAATTTTAATTTTACGGAAATATTTGAACAAAGTTATTTAAAGTATTCTTATTTTAAAAAATGTGTCGTGAATAATGAAAGGAATATTAACAGTTGTTCCGAGGATGGTCAAGCCATGAAATGCAAAACAATACAGTAATTTATCCTTGCATGATGAACATGTTTTCTTTCAAAATCGTCACGAGGTGTTGGTTGTGTACACTTTTGTTTCTAGTGGTACTAAGTTTGGTGACTCCCCAGCATTTCCAGTTAAGCTTTGTTTCAATTATCTTTATTTGAGCAGATTTCTGTAGTGTGGTACGCTTTGTCTCATGCCAGTGGTCTATTGGAGATTAGAAGATTGGATTTGAATACTTTTCTCCTCAGAAGACTTGAGCCTTGTAGTGTGATACGCTCCGACGTTGCTTTGTGGTTCCAGTTCCAGTTATTTTCCGTCTTTTTAAGATTGGCCGAGTATCTTTTTTTTTCGTGACATCTTATCGTCTTCAAGATATTCCATCTGTTCGTTTTGTTAGCATAACATTCATTTATTCATTTACACTTATATCAACATGCATATTCACATTTGTCGTTGATTTTGGGTTGTATACTTTGTTTATTAAGACAATGTACATATTCTTTCCAAGCAGAAGGTTAGCTTAGGCAGAAAATGTGCTTCCTTTCTAAATTCCCCAACTGAGCTAATCCTCGTGGATGATTTTTTGATTTAGCCTACCTTGTCCATTTCTGGATAGGATGAATCCCCCAATCAAGTTACTTTCTCATTGGGTGGAGTCTTGTTTGACTGTTTTCTCTCTGGTTTATTCCTGGAGGGAGTTGTTGTCTCTTGCATAGGCTATCTCATGATATTCCCCAGTGAAGTCACCACCTAGACGAATGATGCATTTATTTTGCGCATTTAAGTATGTGATCTCCTCGGGAAGGATTGATTCATGGTTCTCTTTGACGAAGATTTTATTCTCTGCCAGTGTCATCGTAATTTCCTTCTGAGTTATTCTTTAGAAAATGACAAGCGACAGCTCTTCATGAGCAACTTGTACGTCATTATCTTTTGGAAAACGACAAGCGGCAGCTCTTCACGAGCAACTTGTACGTTTTTATCTTTTGGAAAACGACAAGCGGCAGCTCTTCACGAGCAACTTGTACGTTATTATCTTTTGGAAAACGACAAGCGGCAGCTCTTCACGAGCAACTTGTACGTTATTATCTTTTGGAAAACGGCAAGCGGCAGCTCTTCACGAGCAACTTGTACGTTATTATCTTTTGGAAAACGGCAAGCGGCGGCTCTTCACGAGTAACTTGTACGTTATTGTTTTTGGAAAAAACGGCAAGCGGCAGTCTCTTCATGGGCAACTTGCGTGTTATTGTTTTTTTTCTGGAATACAGCAAGTGGCGGCTTCTTTATTTGAGCAGCTTGTATGTTATAGTATTTTTGGAAGACAACAAGTGGCGGCTTCTTTATTTGAGCAGCTTGTATGTTATTAACATCCCTGGAAGACAGCAAGTGGCAGCTTCTTTATTTGAGCAGCTTGTATGTCATAGTATTTTTGGAAGACAGCAAGTGGCAGCTTCTTTATTTGAGCAGCTTGTATGTCATAGTATTTTTGGAAGACAGCAAGTGGCAGCTTCTTTATTTGAGCAGCTTGTATGTCATAGTATTTTTGGAAGACAGCAAGCGGCAGCTTCTTTATTTGAGCAGCTTGTATGTTATTAACATCCCTGGAAGACAGCAAGTGGCAGCTTCTTTATTTGAGCAGCTTGTATGTCATAGTATTTTTGGAAGACAGCAAGTGGCAGCTTCTTTATTTGAGCAGCTTGTATGTCATAGTATTTTTGGAAGACAGCAAGCGACAGCTTCTTTATTTGAGCAGCTTGTATGTTATAGTATTTTTGGAAGACAGCAAGTGGCGGCTTCTTTATTTGAGCAGCTTGTATGTTATTGACATCCCTGGACGATAGCAAGTGGCAGCTTCTTTATTTGAGCAGCTTGTATGTCATAGTATTTTTGGAAGACAGCATGTGGCAGCTTCTTTATTTGAGCAGCTTGTGTATCTACAACCATATTATTATTTCAGCATTAATTAGTATATCTCCGGAAATCTCGCAGAGAAGCTGTTATGAAATCTTTGCTTTCAGAAGTTGGTAGTCCATTATCAGCAAAATTGATACATCTTTTGTCTATCGTTGACCTTGAGATGTGAACTCACCGTTATTTTGGGTCGATAATCTGTTTTGTGGCCTATGCAAGATGCCTTCTTTGTTAGGGTCAGAGGTCGTATTCTCTCAAATTTTTATTCGCCGTCAAGAGTCTATCATTTGAAGTCGATGGCTTATTTCCCCAGTAGTGTATAATCTATGTTCCTGTGATTTGTTGGTGTTTGGCTTCTCCAGCATTATCTTGTCTCATACAATATCATTCTCTGTAAATTTAAATACTACATTTATATCACAAACATAATGGCGGTATCTTAGGGCAAAAATTGCGTATTATGTATTTAAGTACCTTCAATCTCGTCGAGACGAAGATTTTAATCTTCATATCTCCGGACAGAAGAAACTTAAATAGGGGCAGCTGTCATACCCCAATTTTTGACCTAAGATACCACCTCCCATCTGCATCATTACGTAGCGAGCGTTCACAAGCAATTCGACCCATTTTTGCCATTTCTCGGGTCAGATTTCAAAAATTCATAACTTCTTCGAATTTCGACATTTTTTTAGTGGTTCTTTTACACATGATTCTCCTTGACAACAACTACAACTTTCCTTTAGAAGTCAATAGATGATTATTTTTTGAAATGCCACGAAAGAATGAAAACGTTAGAAGTCGCTTTATGAATTTAATAAAATTTGATCATGTCTTGTCCAACCTTTACCAAATCGTGCATATCGCACATTTTTTCGTCTTGTATTTATCATTTTTTGTATTATTTAAAAAAAATCTAAAAAAATATGTATTTTAGTTCATGTCATTTTTTTTTTACAAACGCATTATTAGAAAAATCACAAAAATATTTATAATTAGCATTATAGTATTTTAAATTCGCAATTCTTAATAAAAAAAATATATAAAAAAATTAATATAGTTTTATTGGTTCCATTTAGATTCATGTTTTAGTATAATTTTTAATCCAAAGAAAATCTCAAAAATGTAGTTAATATCTTTTTTCCTTTATTTTACATTTTTTGATTATTTTTAGCCATTATAATTTTAGTTTCTTTTAATCCAATATTGATTTTGATTTGATTTTAATTTTAATCCAATTTTAAAACTGAATTAATATTAAAATTAAAATAAAATTAATTTTGTTTGCATCTTATTTTTATTATTATTATTATTATTCTGTTTTATATTACTAACAAATTGCCTTTTATCTTTATTATTACTATTATCTTTGTTTATTTGTTTTATGTCCAATAAAGTTGTGGTCCCAAAACCAATTTTTGTTGCTGCCCGTAGTCTGCCAAATCTGCATCAAACATGCCAAAAATAGTCCAAAACAAAGCTAAAAATGTTGATGTCCAAAACTGATTTGCACCCTATTGTTGTCTTGTTGTTACTAACAATTCCAACGGTCCAAATGCTATATCACAACCTGCAAAAAGCTGCCTCATATCAGTCCAAACCAGCCAAATATTACACTAACTTAGCAAGACCAAAACCTGTATCATAAAAGCAATAGAACAGTTAACCACAATAGTTCAAATGAACCAACTCTTCCCACCAGATTTTATCAGTTTTTCTCTATAAAATGAAAACACCCTTTCAAACTATTTGGACAGGAAAAAAATCTCAACCTCTGCTAAACTGCAAACCCTTAATATAATCACTAAAACTGCAACACTCATAAACTCTCTCAAAACTGCTCACACAAAAGCACATAAGCGGAGGAGCAAATTACAAACAACAACACATCATCGGATACACACAAAAAAATCCAGAATTCAAACAAAAATTCAAAAAATCCAGAACCTGCGTCGACAAATCTGATCAGGAAAACAACCAAGGAATCATAACTGAAACATTGAGAAAAGATAGAGAAGAAGAGGCATAGAGGGAGAAAATGGAAGATCTTGAACTCACTTCCTTTTGAAGAACTCCATCGGAGATACTCTGATAGGTAATGCTTCTTCCATCCTTTTGCATAAAAACCTGCATCTCTGTATGTATTCATTATCAAAATTTGTTGATGTTGCATATGTATTCCCTGCTACAGAAGTAAAAAAAAAGGTTGAACCTAGTCCAAATCAAATTACTTTATCATGTTTACAAATAAACCAGAAAGTTTGGAATCGGGTAAAAATAAAATCACCTTGAAATTTTAACACCAACTTCACTCTTCACTAAAACCTCTGTACATCTCAGCACCCTTTATCACTCGGAGCTAACCATCATCCTCTTTGCAAACCAGAAACTCGTTCCTTCATCTTCATCCCACATACTCCCTTCACCGCTACCCAACAATCACCGCAACAAAATGGTGAAAATGGAGAACAAATTCGAAGTCCCGTAATCCAAAAGAAATCGGCTTTGATGGAATCAAATAACCAAAACTTGGCTTCTCTTATCAGTCCTAGGTTTAAATCCACTGCTGCTACGGTTGGTTGGGATGAAGAAGCACTTTTTCTTGCAGCTCTCATTGTTGAAGATACCCCAGATCGTGATTCCAAACAAAAGAAACGTCTTGTTTTGAGTTCCAAATCGCCGCTCTCCCCATCAGCAAACCGCTTCAACGCTCAACAACAAACTTCTGTCGTTAACTCACTTTGTTCTACACTAACCTCACACTTTCCTATCTCTGCGACTCGATAATACAACCTGCTATCCACAAACTATCATCGTCCTCCCTTCTTCTTCTCCCAATTCCGTCCGTCTCCGCATAGTAGCCCACCGGAATTTGTTGAGAAATTTGTATTGAAGGTGTTGTGAAGAGAAATAGGGAAGAGATGGGTGAGAGGGTTGTGGAATGGATATAGAGAGAAGAGGAAGGTGATGGTGTTGATACTGTTGGGAGAGAGAGGATCGATACAACTGCTTGATATTTTTTCCAATTTTTTTTTAATTTAATCTATTTCATTGAAAAGGATATAATAATAATAATAATTAAGTCTGACTTTTTCCCTTTCCAATAAAGCATGCAGCCGCCGCCCCCCTTTGCCTCCCTAGGGTTTCTTGTTTCTCTTCCTTTTCCCCTTGACCCAGTGGCCCTTTGGGCCCAATTTTAGTCCATTCCAATTTCAATTTTCCTTTATGTTTTATTTAACTTATACTAATTAATGAATAATAGTACAGCTCAATTGGTAAAAGGCATTAACAACATTCTAAGGGTCCTGGGTTCAAGTCTTGGTTGGGACTTTTTTTTTATCTTTGGCCAATTATTTAACATACTTAATAATATTAATTTAATTTGCTGTTTAATTAGTAACTATTATAAAAAACATAAAAATGTTCAATTAAAATTTATCTTTATTTATTTTGTCAACATACTATTTAATTCGTATTTTTATTTTATGTTGTTGTCTATTTAATTATTCAAAAATACATGTTTTCATGATTTAATTTTTGTCATGTGTTTAATTATCAAAAAAAAATCTATGTTTTCTTAATTTAATCTTCATGCACTTTTTGATTATTTATTTGTTAAGATGCATGCTAGTATGATTTAAATTTCATTAGTTAATTGTTTAATTATAATTTTAATTAATTGATCGTTAATTCGCATATCTTTCGTCCGTTTAAAATCCAAGGGAATTGTCTAGTTTTTTTGTCGACTTTATGTCATCAAAAAAAACATCGTGCGAATACCCTCATTCATTAAAAACATAGGATAATTTTCCCAAATATCCAATTTCTTCAAAAAAACTCACACCTTTTAAGTCAAAACTTCGACATTAGGTCTTCGTATCTTCAAAAAACTCGTCCATACCCATTTTTCGGCCAAAACAATTTATTTTTAATCAAACAAACATTTTAATAAACAGATATTTCAAAAGGTTCCTATAGAATACTATAGATACATTGGGTGCTAATACCTTCCCCTTGTATAACCAACCCCCGAACTCTAGACCTCTTTTCAAAACGCCTTGTATTTTCATTACTTTTAAAAGTATTATTTTACATTGCATACTTTAGGGTTTTATTTCGCTCTTTTCCCTTTTCCCTTGGAAATAATAAAGCGCGGTGGCGACTCTTGCTTTTGTGAGACGAATTAATTAATAGTTCGATCTCCGATTTACCCCGCTACATTTTTTATCGCAACACCTGGATCCTTCATTATCCGGAGAGAGGGTATTTGGACTTCAATTGGCAAGACTGCCTCCATGCCGTAGACCAAGGAAAAGGGATTTGCCCCGGTTGACGTTCTTGCTGAGGTACGGTACCCATGAAGAGCAAACGGTAACATCTCGTGCCAATCTTTATAGGTCACTGTCATCTTCTACATAATCTTTTTGATATTCTTATTAGCTGCTTCGACAGCCTCGTTCATCTTCGGTCGGTAAGGAGAAGAGTTGTGGTGCTATATCTTGAATTGCTCGCAGAGCTCAGTGATCATCTTGTTATTAAGATTGGTACCATTGTCCGTAATGATCCTTTCCGGGTCGCCGTATCGACAGATCAGGTTGTGTTGAATGAATCGTGCCACGATGTTCTTGGTTACGGTAGCGTAGGAAGCTGCTTCAACCCACTTTGTAAAGTAATCGATCGCCACCAGGATGAAGCGATGCCCGTTGGATGCCGTAGGTTTGATCTCTCCGATCATATCAATGCCCCACATTGCAAAAGGCCAAGGTGTAGTCAAGACATTCAGAGGGACGGGAGGAACGGGCACCTTATCAGCATAGATCTGGCACTTATGACATGTCCGAGAATGTTGGTAACAGTCAGTTCCATTGTGGACCAGAAATATCCTGCCTGAAGGATTTTCTTTGCCATGGTATGTCCACTGGAATGCGTTCCAAAGGTACCTTCATGCAGCTCTGCCATGATCCTTTCTGCTTCAGTCTTATCCACACAACGCAGTAAGGTTGAATCATGGTTTCATTTGTACAGAATGCCGTTACTGAGGAAGAACTTTGCCGCGAACCTTCTCAGAAACTTCTTGTCATTAACAGATGCACCCTCGGGGTATTCTTGAGCTTCAAGGTACCTTTTCACTTCATGATACCAAGGCTTTTCAGTTACCTCTTCAGCCTCAAGACCATAATAATATACAGGTTCGTCCAATTTCCAAATGATGATCCGGGGAGCCTCGTTGTCCCATTTGACTTTGAACATAGAAGACATCATAGCCAGCGCGTCCGCCAACTGATTCTCCTCTCTTGGGAAGTGTTCAAAAGTTATCTCCGTGAAATGGGGGATCAATGTCAACACACATTCTTTGTAAGGAATAAGGTTTGGGTGTTTCGTATCCCACTCGCCCTTGATCTGATCACAGCGCTGATACCATTACCCAAAGCGTTGGAGGCTCCGTCAAAGTGCATAGACCATCGGGATCCTTCCTCAGGTCCTTCATCCGGTCCAGGTACTTCACAATCAGTCACTACCATGATGTTCTCGTTTGGGAATTCAAAGTTCATCGACTAGTAATCGTCCAATGCCTGGTGTGCCAAATGGTCTGCCAATACACTTCCTTTGATTGCTTTCTGAGTCGTGTACTGGATGTCATATTCCGCCAAGATCATCTGCCATCTTGCTATTCTTCCGGACAAGGCGGGCTTTTCGAATATGTACTTGATTGGATCCATTTTTGAAATTAACAGAGTAGTGTGAGTCAACATATACTGTCTCAGCCGGCGAGCAGCCCATACCAAAGCGCAGCAAGTTTTCTCGAGCAATGAGTATCGAGTCTCACAGTCGGTAAACTTTTTGCTAAGGTAATAAATGGCGTGCTCTTTTCGGCCAGACTCGTCATGCTGCCCCAACACACACCCCATTGAATTGTCAAGTACCGTCAAGTATAAGATTAGAGGTCTCCCTTCAACCGGTGGCATAAGAATGGGTGGTTCTTGGAGATACTCTTTGATTCTTTCGAAAGCGGCCTGACATTCATCGTTCCAATGTACTACTTGATCTTTCTTCAGTAGCTTGAAGATTGGTTCACAGTTAGCAGTTAGATGTGAGATGAACCGGGCGATGTAATTCAGACATCCTAGAAAGCCTCTGACTTCTTTCTCTGTCTTGGGAACAGGCATCTCTTGTATGGCTTTTACTTTGGAAGGGTCCACTTGAATACCTTTGTCGCTTATGACGAAACCTAGCAATTTTCCATATCTTACCCCAAAGGTGCATTTGTTTGGGTTCAACCTCAACTTGTACAACTTCAGACGGTCAAATAGTTTCTGCAGATGGTCAAGGTGTTCCTCCTCGGTTTGAGACCTTGCAATCATATCATCGACGTATACTTCAATCTCATGGTGGATCATGTCATGAAATAAAGCAACCATGGCACGTTGGTAGGTTGCCCCAGCATTTTTTAACCCAAAAGGCATGACCTTGTAGCAGAAGGTGCCCCACTGAGTAACAAAGGTAGTCTTTTCCATATCTTCAGGAGCCATTTTGATCTGATTATAACCTGAAAAACCATCCATGAAGGAGAACACCTTGTGCTGAGCAGTATTGTCAACCAGAACGTCGATGTGAGGCAGAGGGAAGTCATCCTTGGGGCTTGCCCTGTTCAAATCCCTGTAATCAACACACATTCTGACCTTACCATCTTTCTTCGGCACTGGAACCACGTTGGCAACCCATTGAGGGTAAGAAGTCACTGCTAGAAACCCGACATCAAACTGTTTCATAACCTCAGCCTTGATTTTCTCGGACATCTCTGGGCGCATACGGCGAACCTTCTGTTTAACCGGAGGGCAATCTTCCTTGGTAGGCAGGTGATGAACCACAATGTCAGTATCCAACCCAGGCATGTCTTCGTAAGACCAGGCAAAGATTTCCACATAATCATGCAGCATTTGAATCAACCGTTGTTTCACACTGAGCTCTAGATTGGCACCAATCTTGACTTCCTTTCTGTCTGTCTTAGTACCCAGATTTACCGTTTCCACTGGCTCTTCATGTGGCTGAATGGCCCTCTCTTCCTGGAGTAACAGTCTTGCAAGCTCACCAGGCACTTCGCAATCGTCTTCACCTTCGTCTTCGGCTAAGTTGATCGGATTTTCAAAGTCATAACTGGCAGTAGCAGAGTCGTTACCAGTGAGATCCAGAGTGGATTGAAACCTGTATAGGTGAGTGTGTGTAAATATAGCTGTTTTGCAATATATAAAGAAAGAAAGGGAGCACAAGATTCGAAATGCAAAAAACGTCCAATGTTTTTTTATTCATGATATATGGAAATGACAAGTAATAAGCCCTCACAAATGAAGCCACGGTGCCCCGGGTAAGACACCGGGCCATAAAGTTTCAAATTATTGTTCGTTACAAATTTAAAAACAAAGGAGTTCATTACTGAGTAACAAAAGTAATAGGTATGAAATCTTTGGCAGTCCAATTGTTCAGTCCACCGTCGGTCGTTGGGTAGATCCAACTGTCGAATTCAGATTCCTCCGCATCGCCTTCAATAGCATTCACTCCCGGGTTGGTGATGAATACGGGAGGTCTTCCAATCCTTGCTTTACGTACAACCCTCTGAGCCTCTGCAGTGAAACCCAGCCCAAACTTGTCAATCTTTGGAGTAAAATCAAGAAGTCAGCCCCATTTTGCACACTCACCTTTCTCAATCACAGCCCGGGCATCCTTCAAGGAAGCCATCTTCAAAGGAGAATCTTCTTCAATTATAGTTTCTACTGACGCCAATGTTGGAG